CTCAGAAAAACAAAAATGGACTTATCATTGATATAAATATACTCTTCAAGAACCACCAGAGTCAAAACAAGAGACACAAAAACAAAGAACTGTCTCAGAAAGACAAAAGTTACTTCTGCAGAAGAGTGTGCCATCAGCAAAAAAAAAAAAGAAATCTGATAAGCAGGCACATACAGCAGGCAGGCTGCTCTTCTATACATCCCTAACACAGCAGGCCTCCCTTCTGCTAGGATGGGTAAAGCTTAGGTTCACAATCTGCTCAGGATTGCCTAGTTTCTGCAGGGTAACTATTTAAAGACTTTGAAATAAGATTAATCGTAAACAAGTAATCTAAACATTCACCCTCGGCTACTTAACAGTCTGAGGTGTGTCTTTGGAGGTATCTTAATTCCATCTTGGGAAAACAAGGGAAGACAAAACTTTATGCTTCAAAAATCCTTTCTTATCCCAGAGCAGTTCCTTTTTTCCTTTCAAAATGTGCTGATATCATCTTAAACAGAATAATCAACCACAGCCAAGCCACCAGCGCAAAGCAGAAACTGAAAGCAACCAATTCTGATAGAAAAGACAGTGTTTCCCACAGCGTCCCACAACCACAGTTTAGTCAGCAATCCACATAGAGCAAGAACTGGTTGCCAACAAACAATAGACTGGAATGGCCAAGGTGTCAAAAAAGAGAATTTTTTTTTTTTAATATTTGGGTCCGGTTGTGGGGCCTGAACTCTGGGCCTGGGCGCTGTCCCTCAGCTCTTCAGCTCAAGGCTAGCGCTCTACCACTTGAGCCATAGTGCCACTTCTGGCTTTTTTTCTTTTTGCTTATGTGGTGCTCAAACCCAGGACCTCATGCATGCAAGGCAAGCACTCCACCACTAAGCCACCTTCCCAGCCCCCCACAAAAGAGAATTTTTTGAAAGATAATTTAAAACAAATATTTCCAAGTTATTAGAAGAAAAGAAAATCACCAAAACATACAAAAGCCAATACTCTAATTAAAAGCAGGTATATTTTTAAAGGGAAAAACATAGAACTGCATATAAAAATTGATTCACTAAAATTGAAAATTCAGAACACAAAACAGAAACATAACTAGACAAAATAGAATGTTCAAGCTCAGTGCTAGTGGCACTAGCTACTCAGGAGGCTCAGGTCTGAGGATTTCAGTTTGAAACTGGCCAAGGTGGAAATTGTTGTCAAGAGTTAACCACAAAACAGCCAGAAATGGAGGTACAATCCAAATGGTGGAACTCCAGAACTGAGGGAGAAAGCTAAGGGATAGTTCCCAGGCCCTGAGTTCAAGCATTAGTGCTGTGCTTACCTCTTCCCCCTCCGCCTCCCCCCCCTGCCACCACCCCAAAAAATAAATAAAACTAATTTTAAAATTCAGTGGGAACCAATTGACTATATCTAACAGAAGAGAACTGGGTGAACTGGAAAATAAAGTAATAAACCAACTACAGTACAGAGGGATAAATAGAAAATATTAGAAAATATCCAATACATTAAAGTAAGAACTTCAGATAGAATGAATGGAGGTAATATTCAAAAGGGGAAACATTTGATACTCTTTCAGAATTTGTTATTGGTTAAACACATTCATGATTATAAGCAAATGCCAAGAGATTTAGAGTCATATAAGTAAAACTCAATCCATACTTAGAAGCATCACTAAGAAATTGAGATATTTTAAAATGAACTAAATTTAAATGAGACCACATTCAGACAGACTTTTTCCTAGACTTTCACTTATTCTTCTGAAGGCTGCTATCCAAGACAATTTGTATTATCTAAAAGACTTTTTCTATGCATAACACTTTTACTCACCAACGTTTCCTCCATTTCTCTTCTAACTATGTCACAAATCTCTATTCCTTTTTGTATAGAAGAGTCTTGTCTATATAAACATCAATCAGCTGGCCCTTTTTGGAGTCTCATATTTTGGGACTTCTATGTGCATGCACATAATTAAAATAATTTTTCTCCTAGTAACTTGTCTACCATAGCTTATTCCATAGACTCAATTATTAAACCTTTAGAGGGTAGAACGTTTTTTGGCCAGGGAAAGGAAAAAGTAACAAACATATAAATAAAATAAAAACAAACATCTAACAAAGAATGCATTAATAATAATCTGTTCAAACATCTAAGAAATTAGCAAATTAAATTCAAAAGACAGTACTGGAGGAGAGTGGGGACCTTCAATCTCTACCTTAAGACCCTGAGATCAGGGCTTTAAATAGGATACCTAGTGATCTGCATATTTCCTTCTTTCTTTGTATCTTTTGTTTTGCTTTGGTTTTTGTTGGTACTGGAGATTGAATTTGGGAATTGGGAATTGAACTTAGGGCCTTATGCTTGCTGTACCTCTAGCCTTTTTCTTTTAGTTTGCTTTTCAGATAAGATGTACTTTTGTCTGGCAGACCTTAGACGAATGGGAGATTCTTCTGGTTTTTGTCTCTTAGCTTACAGTTGTGTACAATCACACCTGGCCCTTTATTTACATCCAAGGTATTAGATGCAGCCTGTAGGTAGGCCTGAAGGGTCAGTGGAGCTGTTCTCAAACCCAACAATAGATGCAGACATGGGAATAAGTCTATGTGATGGGGTCATGGCCCTAAGTGGAGAGATTCCAACACTGCCCAAACAAACCTTGCTCCATTCTCTGGTCACGGCTTTCCAGTGGCTGTTCAAAGTCAAGACAAGTAAGCCTAGATCTTGTGGGCAGCAGAAATTAGCCTTCCCTGTATGCAAAAGGTTGAAGAGGGGTAAACAAACAATACTGAGTTGCAAGCGCAGGAAAACCCTGCACAGAATCTTTAAGTTTTGTAATGATTTTTCTTCTCATCTTAGTGCATTACCAGGGATTTCAATAGTAGGGATTATGGCCTCTTTCCTTTGATCTTAATGAGAATAAGTTAAAAGTTTTCTCCATTAATGACAATGTGTGCTCTAGGTTTTTGCTAGATTGCGTTAATCCATTTAGCAACCTGATTTATTCCTAGTTTCCTAAGCATTTATTACAAGCACATTAAACTTTGCTTCTTTTCATGTTGAGATAATGAGATAACGCCTATTTTTTAAACAGATTCTTAGGAATTCTCCAATATTAACTATATCATGCCTCTATTTGTTTTTAGCATTGCAAACCTATTTTTGCAGTTTGTAGATTCCTCACTTAAACTGTGGTGAATTTTATAAAAGGTTTCAATGTATAGGAAATAATAAGTCTTTTGTTGATCTAACATATATGTGTATACATGTACACACACGTGTGCATGCACACACACACATATGCATAGATCCATGAAACTCTAATCTAAAAAAAAAGCCATAAGCAAAAACAGATCAGGAATAACACCCAGGCCCTGAGTTCAAGTCCTAGGACTTGTACTGCTCAAAAAAAAAATTAAAATAAGTTCTCTCTCTTACTGAACCCAGAGACTTGTATATAACAGGCAAGTACTCTACCACAGAGCTACATTCACTCTCATCTCCCAGTGATTTAAAAATAAAATTCAGGTTCTGCCGTGATGGAGAAGGCTCTGCTCAGTAACCTTGTGCTCTCTGGGCAGCTACTTGGTCTTTTGCTCATCTGTGAACACTCCACTTTCTTTCCCTTTCCTTGACTTCGGGTCGGCAGTTCCCTTTGTCTGAAATGGTGCCTGAGATATCACACGCGTGGATCTTTCTTCTTCTTCAGCGTTTAGCTCAAGCATCCTCTCCGGCACAGTCATCCTATCTTGTTTTCTTCAGAGTACCCCTTACAACCTGAAATTGTCTCGATCGTGTGTTTACCGGTTCTTTTCCTGTTTCCCAGGACAGGAATCAAGAGAGAAAGGCAACCTTGGCGGGGCTCTTTCTGCAAAGGCTCTTCCTCTCTTGCACGATGAAGACACGCAGCAAAATGAGTGACTGACAAGCGCAGGCCCCGTGCAACCCGGCTCTTCGCCCTCTGGCCCGGGAGAGCCTGGGGGTGGGATGGGATGGGGTGGAGGGGGGTGGGGGGGTTAATCCAGGGAATGGGGAAGATAATCCATTGAGCGAGGCTTTTCATTTTCCTAATTCTAAACCGTGTTTTAAGATCCCCTCCCCCCCCCATTCTCTGGCAAGGAAAAAGGGAAGAAAAGCCTAGAAGAACCAAAGACAGGAGCGGCTCTCGGGTGGGCACTGGGGGACGACAGGGACCGGAAGAGGCACCAGGCAGGGCAGGCGCCGTCCTGCACGCGCGCCCGGGGCCTGGAAAGCATCAAGTGGATTCCCGACCGCTCAAGGCAGCTAACAGGTTCTCCTGACCCGCCACAAACAAGCACCTCCCTTCCCAGGCCACGCCCCCGACCCCAGGCCAC